TTAAAAAAAAGCACTTGTAATTTAAACAGACTGGAGGTAGAAAATATTTTTTGGGAAAATACAGTTCTTTGGGATACTAGCCTCACATTCTCACACTCTTGAATGTCCAATATAATATGCAAATTTCCAGCCATTCTGAAGTGATGAAGATAAAGGAAAAGGTTCCCCTCGCACATATGTGCTAGTCATTCCTGACTCTAAGGGGACGGTGCTCATCTCCATTTCAAAGCCTAAGAGCCAGCGCTGTCTGAAGGCGTCTCCGTGGCCATGTGGCCGGCATGACTCAACGCCAAAGGAGCATAGAATGCTGTTACCTTCCCACCAAAGGTGGTTCCTATTTTTCTACTTGCATTTTTTACGTGCTTTCAAACTGCTAGGTTGGCAGAAGCTGGGACAAATAACGGGAGCTCACTCTGATACGCGGTGCTAGAGATTCGAACTGAACTGAACAGCTGAACTGCTGACCTTTCTGATCGACAAGCTGTGTCTTAGCCACTGAGCCACCGCGTCCCGTGATGAATATAGGAAGTGAAATTTGGACAGTAGCCTGACAAGGACTGCCTTGTGTCTGTAGTTGAGCTTCAGAAATGTGAATCTTTAGGCAACACCTTCACAGGAAGAGACAATGAAATAAAGCTCCTAAGGCCTCTTAGCTCAAGAACTCTTTTCCCAAGGATTCTAGTTTTTCTCAGTGCTACAGGCTTTATTCCACCTTATGCAAATATGTAGAAAGGTTGGTATTTCCTTTAATGATATGGAGCGGGGGAGGGGGGGAGCCATCATCCATGCAAATAACTGTTGCAGAAACTGTTATGCTTCAGGATCAGCCCATTTCCGCTTCTGCTGAGCAAAGTTTTGGTTTGGAGGAAAGATGGTGGATATAGTATTTCTTCTTCAATGTTGTCCTCCTAATATTAAGCCAGGGGTGTACAATGGATTAAGAATCAGTGGCTGCATTAAAGCCATTCATTGTGTCTTGAGTTCATCATGTGTTCCTAGTTCTGCTTCAGCGCACTAACCCACTGCACATGCTGCCTGCAGGCTTCATCCAAAGCACCCCTATTATGCTGCAATACAGTTGAGCTAAACATGAAACCAATGTATCGCTATCACTTGAGAACTCACCGATGCCATCTTCAAGTTTGTGTATGGTATGTGTTTCTACAGCCATCACGGCCGCATTCGTTTCAGTGCTCTCTTGATAAATTCTGCTGTAAAAAATAGCAAGTACACAAAAGATGCAGTCATTTGAAAACTGGTGACATGAAAGAACATCTCCCCGCTATCAATCTATGTGATCCTCACATCAGTAGGGGTAACACTTATTTATGGGATTTTCCATTAGTAATTCCGTATTTATGGAATTTGGCACTTTTCAGCAGCAACCCAGAATTTTAATTTTAATGGTTCAGCTTTTGGTTATTCTACTGCCATCGGTTTATATGGAAATAACCTGCTGTTTTAGGCCTATCGATATTAGTTTGATATATTGGACTTATTAATATTATGCAAATTTCCTTGCATAGTAGTTTATTTTGATTATATAAAAAGTAATATTCATAGCAGTATTTTTTCCCACCAATTTCATAAGGGATACTGTAATTTGTATCTCCAAGGAAAGTTAATATCATGATAATCAAGTTCTCTGTCTGCAGCTGAAAGGACTCGAGTCTTCATACAAGAAAGGAAATTGTTATTAAACAGTCAAACTTGTTTTGATACAACTTGCTTCACAGTGGAATGAACTGATTGGGTGGGAGGGGTGACCTCTTCTTTATTAGGAATGCTACACCAGCTGTGGGGTTGACCAAATTGTCCTTAACTTTATGGTTCTGTCCAGCCATAAAATCCAGCCATAAAATTAATGATGGAGAAGGCATCTATAACATGTGTTCCTTCATATTTTTAAGCATATTTAGAATCTCCCAATACCTCAAACTCTTGTTAAAATTCCTGTCTTCTGCACAACTACTAAATCACAAGAGTTTCATCTTCTTTTATGCCTGTATTTTCAACTCTCCTTGTAGCAGTCCACTAAACCCTCAATTTGGGCAAAATTGCTTGGGGATATTTCATTTTGCTACTGGCATGTCACTCACCCTTGTTGAACGGGCTGTAGTTGTAATATAACCTGGGTTTTGGTATCTTCTGGGTTTCCCCCCTCCGTTCCTTCGGTTGGCACAACAACCACATCTCCTACAGGAATGCTTACTTCAGCATTTGCCATTTGTTCACATGAAGTCTGAGCGACCGGGTGACAAGTATGCTGTAGTGGACAACAAAACAACCGAGGCAATCTTGATTTGGGAGTTGAGGAGAACCGTCATTTCTAATTATACACAATTATCATATTCTATAATAGTAGGACAAAAGGGAACACATATGTGATAGAAACATCCTCAGCACCTTTGCGGCATCTCTTAATAGTTTTAACCTTTCCACACAACCGAAGATTGTTCTCAGGCTAATTGACTAATCTATCTACCACTATTGCCTTGGGAATTCAAAAGTGACTTGGCCTTGTTAGCTTTCTTGTAAGGTTTAAGAGGTTATTGTGACAGCAATTAAAGATGCTCAGGCATTCATTCCCTTTCTATATTCTGGGCTGCAACTGCTACAGCAGAAGCATGAGCCAACTGAAAACAAAAAGGGTATTTTTTTAAATGGAAACTTGGATTCATTAGAAAGTGAAGGATGCAGTCCTATATACAATTGGCTTAGACTGTACCTAGTACAGTCTAGTATCTAGGTAATTTGCTTCTGAGTTCCCAGGCAGTTTTTTTTTTTGAGGGGGGTTGTTTAAACCAGTGTTTTTCAACCTTTTTGTGCAAAGGCACACTTTTTTCATGAAAAAAAAACCACGAGGCACACCACCAATAGAAAATGTTAAAAAAAATTTAACTCTGTGCCTATACTGACTATATATAAAGTGTTTTTCCCACGGCACACCTTACACTATGTCATGGCACACTAGTGTGCCGCGGCACAGTAGTTGAAAAACACTGGTTTAAACCAACCAATTAGGCTGAAACACTGGGCAGTGTCACTCAATAGGCAGAGAAAGCTGGAAAGCCACGTTGCAATGATTAATGTGGTATCCAAAGGGTTTGAAAAGTATGTAATGGGTGGCTTGGAGCTTGGTGGGAGGCATTTGCTGCTTTTTAAATGATTTAAGATTGTGGGAGTTGCTTTTGCTTTCTCTTTGTTCCTTTGCCAGCAGAACACCAGGATCAAACCCCCTCCCACAATACATTGGTTGTAAACTAATGACCAAAAGAACCCCCAAATTCAATTTTATCTATTGGTTGCTCCCAAATCAGCAGATGAGCTGGGAAAGCAAGGATTTATGGAATTTTCAGTAAGAATGATCATACACGTGATTCTTTGGAAATAAGAACTTTAACACAAAACCCCATTTCATAAGTGAGAGTGTATGAGTTTCCTTGTTTTTAGATTCAAAATCACAGGCCATTGTTACTGCTGGATCAGATGATCAGTCTAACAAATTCAACTTACTGGTTGCTACAAACCAGCCCCTCCTGCTGGCTGCACAAAACTCATTAGCAATACACAAACGTAAGTCTCATTTTGCCTCAGAGGATACCCAGAGAAATACACTGTGGTGGTGTTGAATCTGAAGGTTAGATATAAGTCTAATGACCTTGCTGTCTAATAACCTTTTCTAGAGCTGTTCTAAACCCCTCTTACTTGTCATTCTACTATATTTTTAAAAAGTATTCAGTATGTGAAAATGTTATTGTCTCTCTTAAAGGCAAGGTTGAAATGACTTGACCCGTGTTTGAATAGTTCTTTAAGTCATGTCTGAATTCAGGATAAATTGCATGAGAGACTGCTCATTAATTCAATGGTTATCAGCTAGAATTATTTTATAGAGGAATGTTATGTATCTGCCTCAAATAAATTCCCCTGGATGTTAATGAAATTTACTTTTACAAAAGCAGAAACATCATCACAATTTTCCTAATTTACTTTTAGGTAAGTCCAAATGAATTCAGCACTCTATACGCTTAGTAGGCAAATCACAGGCATTATTTTAGATTAGTTACAGTAGTGTCATAAATATTGGCAGGGCTATAACAGAAGGCTCAGAATTGCCTTAGCTGCTTATTATTATGGGAAAACAAAAATTGAGGCAAACAAGAACATTATTTGCATCTTTATTATATATTTTTGTAAATAGGGTTTAGTAGCTTTGTTCATGTGAAACAGAGTTGTTCAATCAACAATGATATCCTTCAAATAATGGTGCCAGGTCATCAATTTTGTCATTATTTTAAAAAGTCAAACAGAAAAAACCCTTAACACTGAATAGAGAATGGGTGATAGAAGAGGGACATTTAAGGGGCATTTCAGCTGTGATTTGTTTTGTTTTGGGAAAAGCATTGTTTTCCAGAAATTCCACCCCAAGCCCATCATTGTGCCACATTAGCATTGACATAAAAAGAGAGGGGAGCATGGAAGGCAGTTGCTTTTTATTGCTTTCTGCTATATAAATCAAGGCAGCCTTTTTAAATCATAATTTGTCATTTATTTAAAAAATGCCAAATCTTGGTAAAGCCACTTTGATCTCCACTATTACAACAAGTTGTTCAAACCCATTTATCCTACATCGAACTCCAACCACCATCAAAGTGTGTTATCTAAAGCCATCTCAGTCAGTGTAATGAATATTCTGTATCATAAATCATAGGGAGACTCCTGCTCTAAAAATGTATTAAATTGAAATGCCACTCAGAGAGAAGCTAGCTAGGCTGTTAACATACAGTAATCCTAATTTTATCCAGTTTTATTTTTTTCTTATGGATCCTACTTAAAACCGGTGGTGGGCTTCTCTTTTAACCAATTTGGCAGCCAAAAAAGCCAATGCAATCCTAAATTGCATTAACAGAGGGATACATTTAAGATCAAGTGCGGTACTAATACCAATCTATAAAGACCACACTTAAGAGTACTGCATCCAGTTTTAGTTATCACACTATAAAAAAGATGTTGAAACTCTAGAAAGAGTGCTGAGAAGACAAACCAACATGATTAGGGGACTCGAGACCAAAGCATATGAAGAACGGTTGCAGGAACTGGGCATGGCTAGTCTAGTGAAAAGAAGAACCAGGGGAGACATGATAGCAGTCTTCCAATATTTGAGGGGCTGCCACAGAGAGGAGGGGGTAAAGCTATTCTCCAAAGCACATTGAAGGCCAGACAAGGAATAATGGATGGAAACTGACCAAGGAGAGATTCAACCTAGGAATGAGGAGGAACTTTCTGACAGTGAGAGCAATCAACCATTGGAACAGAAGTTGCCTTCGGAAGTTGTGGGAGCTTCATCACTGGAGGCTTTCAAGAAGAGACTGGACTGCCATCTTGACAGAAATGGTAAAGGCAGGGTCTCCTGCTTGGGAGGTTGGACTGGATGACCTACAAGGTCCCTTCCAACCCTGTTTATCCGAATTTGCAGGAACAGCTTACTTTG